ATTAACAGAATAAAAGTTGTGATCGGGGTTTATTTTTTATTAATAGAAATTATACATGATAAATTGTGATTTTTTGTTCAACTCCAATGGTTCATAAAAGAAAAATTATTATTCTTTAAATAAAAGTTATGATTGAAGTTTGTTATTTTTAATAAGGATAAAATGATCTTTTCATTTTAAAATTTATTCACAAAAAAATCTCTATAAATTTTAGTGGAATTAATGACATTTGTCATTCTCCCATTTTTCTCATATGATTCAATATTAACTCAGGGGAAAGAGATAAGGGCGTATTTAAAAGGAAAACATACTCATATGTGCCTATAGTTTTATTGGTTTTAAATTTTAATCTCAATAATTTTCAGTATTTTATTTCAAAAAAATTGGGTGATAATTATTTTTTATGTTCTTATATAATTTCAATTTTTTTTAGTGTCTTTAGTTCCTATAAGAATTAAAAATACCAGAAAAAACTACCAGAACCAAAATCGAAACCTGATTAAAAATTATATTTTCCTATTTAAAAATGGGATACTATAATGGAGTCCCTAAACATTTTGTAAGAAAGTGGCGCAACATGCTTTAGCACTCACAACTTTCGAATTCCTACGTGATAGAACCTATCACGGATTACTCGAACCCGTTGTGTCGCTCTCACAACAAATATGTAGAGAAGAGGAAGAGAGAAATGCGATAAGCTTTTAGTTCAAAAAATATGCAGTTTTCATGTATAAATTTATAAACTAAGACTTATATATTTAATTTATATACTTAATATATTTCTATTGAATTGACAAGTGACTCTTAATGTGATAATAAAATTAATATAAAAATTTATTGTAAAACAAATAATCAATAAAATATTCACATATCTTAATTTAATATTAAATATATAAGATTAAGTATATAAGATTCTTTTCCAAGTTTATAACTCCCACACAGAACTACTCATTTGTGCAAATAGGAACCTTTTTTTTTTTTTTTTAACTTTCACACTCGATATCCTGAATCTGTTTGGGTATGTTGAGGAACCTAGTTTTATTGTGCATGAGAACCCAGGATTTTTCGTATTGTGATACAGCCCGATTATACAAGTGGGCTTATATTCAGAACTGATTTGTTAAGGATGGATACCCAACACTTTTTTTTTAATTATCAATTTAGTACTTAAAATTTAATTTAGTATAATTTTATTCCTATAATTTGTTGAATTAAGTAATTATAGGAATTAAGTAGTATCGAATGAAAAAAAAAATATAAGTTGTTTTAAGTTAATAAATTATAAAAACTGAATTATTTTGAAGCAAAATTTAGGAAGTGAATCGATAATTGAAAAAACATTAGTCCAAAAATTAAATTTTTCCTCTAAATATCAACCATAAATTTTTCATCAAATTTTGTAAATAATATTATATTAAAAAATAAATGGGAGGAGTCTTGTAAATATATTCTTACTGTAAACACATTATCTTTTTTTTTTTGGCCTAAAACTAATAGGTATAGCATTTTTACAATGAAATCATCTTTTTATGTAGTATTTCTCTATCTCAAATTATAAAATATTTTAATAAAATTTTATGTATATCAATAAATTTCAATAATGATATTTTATAAATTTATTACTTTTTTCAAAAATAAAAATATAAAATTTCAAAAAACCCTTCATTTAATATCACTTTCAATATATAATTATTTTAATTTTTTTCTACTTGAAGAGTAATATTAAAAAAATATTATTAATGAAAACTTATTTTTTAAAATTATTTTATATTTTTGGATAACAAAATTCTTCTAACCTTATTTTAAAATTTAAGATGGAGAGATTTTTTTTTTGTTCGACAATTTTTTTTTTTTCAAATGTATTGAAAACATATCAAGCATAGGTAAGGAATCATTCATAAGAAGGACAGATGCGTCCCACTTCTCCGAATGATTGAACCAAACCACAGGGGTCACTCTCCATCCGTATATAAACGCCCACGGAAAGCTTACCTTCTTCTTTATTTTTATTTTTTTCTTAAATTAGTTACAATATATCGACAATTTTTTTTTGTGCGAATAATTTAATTATTTGGAAAGCGAAGTTTAAGAGTGTAATTACAGCATCCTTGATAGCCACAAAAATCATCTGCACAGCCAACCTCACCTTCTTCCCCTGTCTCAGTTTTGTCCGTTCCCATCCTCCATATACTTTAGGAGTATTTACTTTTTTTGTTGGTCAAAGTTCAAATTATCAAATATTCATTTGATAAAAGTAAGTTTAATAAAAATAAAATTTTTATTTTGATACATTATTTTAAAAGTCAATTTAATACACTAAAAATTATTTAGATCAATGATAATTTATGCTTTTGTATATAAAATGATTAAAAAAGATATTAATTTATGATGGTTTGTAATTTTTATTGTACAAATAAAATATATTAAAAATGTTTAAAATATAAGGGTGGCATGGTCACCGAAAATAAAATTAGGTACATGTTTGTTTCTTTATTAAATGCTACCAACTTTCATCTGTGGTTGAAATTTAATTTAGAGTTGCTTTTTAAAATTCACTTTCAAATCACATTACCAAATACTTCTCATTTTTCAAGAGTACATTTTCCGATTTATGTGATATCCAAACACCTTTGTGCATTTTAGACGCTAGAGTATGCTTTTTACACGTTAGATGTGATTTATCCAAACAAGCCTCTCATGGCAATTACTTACTTTTATGATTCAGGGTATTTTATTTTATTTTATTATTATAATGTGTGTATAATTTCTCAATCCTACTTTCAAACTGATAATACGTTTTTTTTAAAAAAACAATGAAGAGGAGTAAGCAAATATTATAGTAAATAGATTATAAAGTTATAAAATATTCCTTTCAGCCTTATTATTATATTATTATAAGTGGTTATTGGGTAGACTTAAGTTTGATGTGAGAAATTTCATATATGATGAATTAAACTCAATAATTAATATATAATAAAGTAAAAAGACATATGAGCTTAACCTTAAATGTGTTAAAATGTAATATCCTTGCTTCTCTTACTCATTTGTACTCTTCCGATTTTATAATATAAAGTGATGTAATATTATCTTTTGGTCTGACATTTTTATTGCTAAACTGTTAATAAGCCTTCTTAAAATTTGCAGAGAAGAGTCGAGGCAACCAACCTTATGATAAAAGTAAATCTAGAATCTTTGATTTTTTTAAAAAATTAAAGAATATAATGATATTTTCTTAATATGCATGAAAATGTTAAAAGTATATTAGATTTTGAAAAAAAAATGTAAAAAAAATTATGAAAGATGAAAGAATATATTTTTGAAAAGGAAAAAATTGTAATAATTTCCAACAACTAATAGTTGCATAAGCAAGTGAACTTTGGCACAAAATAGAAAATAAATTTTGAATACACTCTCCTTTCAAACATATAATATATTTTTTGAGGGGTCAGATGTTAAAAAATTTAAAGTATTGTTAATTTTTTAAAGTATAATCATTATCTTTTTTAAAAAATACCCTTATTAAATAAATTACTTTATATTTATTTTAAGATAAAATGTTCTATTAAATAAAGATAAATATTAATAAATAGGATTAATTTAAAGACAAGTAATTATTTTATTGAAAGTGAAAATTGATCAAAAATATTTTATATTTTTAAATAAAAGAAATATATCTTGTTCAAAGGTTCTTCAAGCCAACCAACAGCAACAGCTGCCTGCCACAGAGACCATGAGAGCACCTTCCTCCTTCCCCACACGAAGTCCTCTTGTAGGGATCCCCCAATCATTGATTACTAGTTTAGCCTCAAGACAAGGGAGAACAACACAACATTTACTCTACCTGCTATCTAGTAAGGTGAAATGACAGATAAATCTCGAAACAAATAATTTATTCCAGATAAGTCCTATAAGATTCAAAACTTCCAGAAAAATTCCTTTGTTCCTTAGTGATCATAAGCTAAAAGGGAAAACACCAAATTACCCTTATGAAAAAAAAAAAACCTAACTATTATTCTCTCACAAACAACATATAGGTGCCCTAATTCCTCATCTCCAACTATAGTTGCGGTTAGTTACCTCACAAAACAAGAGCAATTCATATATAGATGCCGCAATAAATGGCTGTTAAGGATCACTAGCAAGGATACAAGCATCCAAAAAAGTATTTTAAGAAATTGAGGAAGCAATTAATGGGAGTTGTGTTTAACGATGTTAATTTTTCAGTGTGGCAAATTACAATTCAAATTTTATTTGAGAGAGATGTTCATATTTCATATCAATCGTATTTTAAATAAAATTACATTTAATAAAAAGATATTCATGCACAGTAAAACAAAAAAAAAAAGAAAGAAAGCAAGGAAGCATTCACTTACAATGCCTCTATTTTTGGACAAATCCTCGTTGAGTTTCTGCTTGTCTTTTCGCTTGGATTTTTAAAAATCATCTTCCATTTGAAAACTCTTGAAAAATGAAGGTACCTGAAGCGTTTTTGAGTATCGAATAAAGGTTAAAGTTCTCAATTTTTTGCTTGGGTGCTTGCATCTTCCAATGATTGATTTGTTTTGTGAATATGGTACATATCTCTGGCCTAATAGTTTTTTTTTTTTAAAAAAAATCAGAATGCATAAGATTTCGTCTTTACATGGAAGCATGGTGTGAATACTGAATACTGCTTTCGCGTTGTTTATTAATTACTAACCCTGCTTATGACATTTAATAATTTCATGGGACTGACTTGTTATTAAACGAGTTTATTGGGACTTAAATGTCATTTTACGAAAATTTAACCACAGCTTAAACGATTCCATGATTACGATTATTAATCTGACAAAAAAGAGTGATTACGCATGCCTTACTTTCTAGTTTCAATACATAAGCCACTCTATCTTCCATATCCTTCTTCTGTACAGGACAGGCTTTTCATTCTACTGTTGTAAAGCACAATTCCATTCAGATCCCACAACACACATGGGAATGATCAGTAAACAAACAAGAAAACATGAAAATTTTCGTCAGTTAGTCCAGAAATTATTTCTTCTTCTAACTGGGCAGAAATTATTCAGCGAGTTTCATTCTTCCCAGGGCCTTGAGTTAGATTACAAAACGAGGATGACTTGAGCTTCAACCTAGAACTACCACCCTAGTGATGTACTATGTACAGAAATATTTACAGATATCTAACAACTCAATGAACTGGGAATTTCCCACAATACGTCGTCGTTGCACCACCCTTATCATTCTCGTCGTCCTCCTCCTCTTCACCATGAACATTTCCTACGCTCTGCTCAGAGAGTGCTTCATTCTTTTCGATTTGGTCCCTGCAAGCTCGCCATCCACCATTAGTCTCTAAACATTGAACCCTCCTCCTCAGTTCGTCCAATTCTCTCTCCATCAGAAACAGCTTCTTTTTCAGTGTCATGTTCTCTTCTTCCAATCGTGCAATATGCGAGTCCTGTTCGTCCACCCGATTCTCCAACACACTGGTTTGATCATCGGTTCCGAAATTTGGGTATATCATTTCGAATCTACTCAGATCATGGTCTAGTCTCTTCTCAACTTCGACTCGTTCTTCTACATCACTGTCACTAGACCCGCCACCGCCAACGCCACCATGATCGTCGTTGTCGTCTTCTTCTTCCTCATCTTCTTCGTCGTCACCTCTAGGTGACCCAGATCGAAGCCTTATCAGACCTTTCATTGAACCGTAACCATCAACCCCCCACTCTTCCTTCGCCATGTCGATCCAAAACTCGCTCAAGGGTGACAAGATTGGCGTTGGTAGGACCGCCGGCGTCACGGGACACGGCGTGGTGTTACCTCGTGATCTTTTGGAGTGTATTAGGAACGATGTGGTATTACGCGGAGCGAACGGAGCATATCTGGATTCGAACTTGTTCTTCCGATGAAATCTTCGACCTTTCAATCGGTTCTGAGCTGGCGAATCGATCGGACCCGGAAGTTTGTACCCGTGACCCGGAAACGAATCTTTACGCCCGAAACTCATTCCGCTTGTCGGGTTTGAAATCCTTCCCCTTCCAGACAACCCGACCCGGAGGTACAGGGTTCGCCGTCGAGGGAGCGTTAAAGATTTGCCTTTGAGAATGAGCGCCGTGATACACAACTGCGGCGTTGTCCGGCGGGAACGGAGGCGGACGGTGAGGCCAAACGACGTTGTTTTGATGAATCTGCAAGATCTGAGACTGGCTCATATTAAGCGACAGATCGTTCATGAAATTTCAGGCGTCAGAGAATGATGAGAAGCCCTGAAGCTACCTGTAATGGCACCGAAAAAGCAGACCGTTAAAGAAATCTCGGATGTAATAATTTCCCAAAAAAATTAAAAAAAAAACCAGGAAAAAGAAGATTTAAGTTTTATAGTTAAAATTGAAAACCTTGAATTTTGTCTTAGGATTTGGGATGGAAGGGTTGGCTGAGAGATTGAGATTGGAATCGGGAGTGAAAAGGGAATAATTGGGATTAACGTCGTCGGCAATGTTGGGAAGATATATAGAAGAGGAGAGGAAGGGGACAGAGAAGATCAAGGGTGGGGTTTGGGTGTCGATAAAATGGGCGGATAAGATGTTTCTGTTTGTTATTGCAAATTTATGGTCTGTTTGGAGCAACGGAATTAGAGTTTGAGAAGTAAGAGCATGGTGGTGGCATTGAAACTCGATTTGGGTTGGCCATTGGACCAGTAAACTCCGATTCGATCTAGAATTTTAAACGGATTGGATTTTATATTTTTTCCATCTTCCCCAGCTTAAAACAACAAAATTTAAAATTTAAAATAATAATAATAATAATAATATTGTAAATTTTTGCTTTAATAACTCTATTTTTTTGGTATTACATGTAATTTTTATATGAATGTTTTATTTCGACCCAAAAAAAAAAACGCAAATATTTTATTAACTTGTGGATTAATTGTACACGGCAGTACATGCCACGCAGGACGTGTCTATCGTGTAAGATGCTAGCTTGGCTGTTATTCAGGATCAAGGTTGGATTTAAGGGGGCCAAGCACCCTATGTCACAAATTTTTTCACAATTTCTTTATTTTTATTTGTAAAAAATGTTAAAACTAATTTTTACTTCCCATTTATTATATAATTTTGTATGTTAGCCCCCTCATAGAGTTGTTTCTGGATCTGTCCTTGTTTAAGACTTGGTTACCATCTAGAATGCTATTATAAACATTAACTTGGATGTCACTTTGAATGCCATATTGGATGTTATATATAATGTCGCATTTTCTCATATAGGTGTACATTTTTATTTACACAATACTCGTCTAGAATTGTCTATGAAAATTTTATATATTTTAATTAAATTATATTATTTTAATGGGTTAAAGGTCATTGTTGCTTTCAAAGTATTAGCCAAATGACACTTGTTGTCATAAACTCAATTTTTAATCCCCTAAACATTTAAAAATATATCAACTTTGCCTTCGTTATTAACTTTGACCAGTTTATTTAACCAGAAAAGTCAACGTGGCACTCCATGTTGCATCCACATGATTTTGTTAATGGTTTATGTGACATGGTGAATAAAGAAATCGAGCCAAAGATCTTGCAAAGACATAACATGCCAATCTTTCACTGTTCACATTCATTCATGATTTCATGGGCCATTGGACATACCATGGTTATTGGTTCTTAATTCTTTGCCGCTTCTTGCAACTGTAACGTCTAGAATTTTAAACCTTAGATTAATAAGTTATTGACAGAAAAATCAGTAAAAGTTTTTCATTAGTTATGTTGATAAGGTTTTCAAGTAACTAATGGATCTATCAAACTTGTGAATAGCCTTGAATTTGGGCTAAGGAGTGTATTAGGCCACTTTGAATTCTAGTAGAGGAGTAAAGTGAGAATTGAGCTTTCTGTACTATCCGCCATGAAATATAGCCTAAAATTTGATTTAATCAAAGGCGCTTAGGGGCTCACAATTGAAGAAAAAAAAGAAGATGAGAAGAGGAGTTCCAGTCTCTATTAGGACAATGTTTGGGGATCGTTATAGGAATTGATTTGAGCCTTAAATCATTTAGGTAAGTTGTTTATTTTCATCCTCCTTCTCGCTCATTTATTTTTTAGTTAGGTTTTAGGTTGGGAGATGATGCTTTGGGGGGGGGAGAGAGTGAGTGAGTGAGTTAGGGTCAAACCCATGGGTCTTAATGTGACTAATGGTAGTTCTTTTAGGTTTCCAAACCTACATTTGATGATTTTGAAAGATTATGTGAATGGGTTGATAGGTATAGATGAACCTTAGACAAAAAAAATGATAAGTTGAGATGTTGGGTGCTACAAAATGATGTTAGTTAAGCTAATGGAAGTTTATTAAAGCTAATGAATGATTTTAAGTGTTTGGGTTGTGGAAAAAATGAGTTGGTGTCTTCGGTTAGTAAGAGGTCATTAAAAATATATGAAATTGAGTTTGTTATTGATGATGGTTGTTGGAATATCATAGATTAATATTGTTATGAACATTTTAAACTTAGATATAACCTTGTGGAAGCAAGTTATTGGGAGAAAAAACCTTTGATAAATAGAGGTTTGAGATAATCGAAAAAACTAATTCTTACACCTTGCTTGTTTAGTTGATTATAGGTTTTGTGAACTAGTAAATGTAATTTTATGTCACAAATTATATACTTTATACTTTGAAATTTCTAAGAAAGTGGGATTGAATTATGAAAATGACATCATAGAATGTCAATGTTTGTCTTTAACTATATTATGACTTGAAATTGTGATATCGAAAAATTGAATGTGAAATGAGCATAGTTTGTATGGCATGATCATAATGATGGGTGAGAGCTCACCCTAAGGGAAAGTAGACATTAATTATCCATGTGGTTATTACCATCACTATGAGTAGCCTTGGTGATTGGTCTTGAAATTGATTAGCCCTTAATATCACCATAGATTGGGTGTAGGATAGTGCTTACGACACTCTAAAATTTGAGATGGGAAAATTTATGATTCAAGAGTGAGTGTGGTACCTTTGGCTAGATTGCCCCTTACAATTGGCAAGATTGGGTTAGTCCATTTACATGAATGTAATCTTTTGTTTTAGAGCTTGCAAATTTAGTCAATGATAACAGGAGGATATAAGGGAGGTTAATGATAATGTATGATATTAATTCTTAATGATTTGTTTTTAATTGCCCACTTTGCATGAATATTTATTGATTTAACTTACATGTGTTTGATTTAATATATCTTAGTTATTGAGTGGTTGTACTCACTTTTCTATTAACATTTTATAAGTGGTAGTGTTGGTAGGGGCAAAAGGTAGGCATTGAAAACTAAGGACTAGTGTCCTACTCCTACTTATAATGCCCTTTTATTTTGGTTTAGCCTATGTGTAATAGAATTATTGCCAACTAAGATATTTACTTGTGATTCATTTGCACCATTGGACATTTAATATGTGATTGGTTGTATTTTGGGACCATGATTGATGGTGTGTATTTGTTTTATGCTATTGGGCCAAAATACTTGGACAAATGTTGTTAGTATGAAAGATTATGATTTTCTGAAATGAGTGTACGAAAATGCCATTGAGAACCTCACCCCTTGTATTATGTTGAAAATGGGGTTTAATGGTCAAATTGTGATATGTAGCAATTTGTATGATTGTGATACATTATACAAGTTGTCTATGATTTATTAAATGTGGTCTTGATGTTATGGTAAGCTTTTGGCACATGGTTGTAGTTTTGGACACTTTGAAAGTGTTAGAATATGAAAACAATATTATTTTGGTTCTAGGTGTCTAGCTTGTGATATGATATAGTTTGAAAATGAAATCGTGCCATTAGCTAATTGATTGAGTAAAATTTATGCAAATACCTAAATCACTTAAATAGAACACCAGATGGAGAATTTGGATACTTCAAAAGTTATCCAAGTTATCCCCTTTGTTTGATTCATGATAGCAAAGTTGTTATCATAAAGTCTATATGATGCATCGTGGTGCACAGTACAAAAAAAGTTGCCTATGGTGCACGCATGCTTTGTAGAAGAGGATGGCTTCTATATCATTTGTCATCGTGGACATGTCATTAGCCATGACAAAGGCATTGTTTTCTAAAGAAAATGCCTTATAGGCCCTGCTTTGAATTATTTTTAATTTTACAGGTTTTTTATGTTTCCAAGTGCTTTTAAACTTTGATAGCTGTGATTTATTGTCTTGTTCCATTTTGAAACAAATTTATACAACTTGAGATCCCAATTTTCAAGTGTTTTAAATTTAATACATACCTTCGAACTTTTCTAACATAGTAGTTCATTATTGCATTGGTTTAATTGTTAACCTCTAGAAATTCATGTTATTTCATCATATTTTCCTTAGATTCTAATTCATTTTGGTTCAATTGTATATGTTTTTATTGCCCAAATTAGGAAAATGTGCATTTTGTTTTGGGCTTATGTTTTTAGCTTTAATTTGATATTTTTCGCCTAATTTCATGTTATTTTGATTAGAAGCATTTCTGGAGCTTTGTGGATGTTTTTGGAAGGCTTTTGGATGAAGAAATCAAGAGCAAAATGAATGATTTTTGTTAGCTGTAAAAACAGTGCAAAACTGCCAAAATCGTCTTAAAGTCGTAACTTTTGTTCGCGACTTTCGTCGCTGTCAGAAAAACGCTGCGTTTCATTTATCAGAAATTAGTTGGCTATGACACATATAAGCTGAGAGCTCGATCCAGAACGCATTCTTCAAACTTTTAGACACTTTTGGAGCTTGGTTGTGCTAGGGTTTGGGCATTGGAAGAGTTGGGATCAAGAGATTGAAGCTTTAAATACATTTGAAGCTCATTTTCTTTGGTTTTTCTATTCCTCTTCCCTTTCCTCTCTTGTAATCTGAAATGAGTCTACTTATTTTGTATATTTGTAGCTTGTGGATGATTATGAGTAGCTAAACCCTTTGTTCTAGGATTATTTGGAACCCTTGTATAGATTAACACCATATTTCTCCTCTCTTTTTGTGATTAATGATATATATATGTTTATTTTACTCTTTCTTTAATGCTTCTACTTGATTGGCCACCATTTAGATGTTGGGTTCACTTAATTGATGCTTGAGAGGGCTAGGTTGAGTGTAGAACTTGAGTAAAATTGTGTAAGAACTTAATATTTGCATGTTGAATGGATGGTTTTGCCAGTAAGATAGAGATATACTTGCTAGCCTTGCATAGCCACATTAGGGTTGGTGTTTAAAATTGAGTTTTATTAATTGTAACAAGAGATTGGACAATTAATTTAACTAAACACTTGTTCATGCCTTGAGAGAGCTTGTCCAAGTATTTTTAGAACCCTAAGTTAGCACTTATTTTCATTAAAAGCATTTATGAGAGGAGGTAATTTTGGTGTTATGAAATGCAAAGGGGACAATTAATCCTAGGTCTCAATTTATGTTGGAAGTTTGTGAATCACTCACTTTTCTTTATTTTCTAGTATTAGCTTCATAAGTAAAATCATTTTCACCTAACTATGTGTAGCTCAACTTGATCAAATTTACTTAGTCTTTTGCTTGATCATTGTTTTTGAACAAATCCTCGAGGGAACGATACTCTACTCATTTTATATTACTTGCTACGACCCGTGCACTTGCGGTGAGCAACATTAATCTTTTCTATTATGATAGGGCCTTTTAGTCATGTTTATTTCTATTCTATTATGGTAGAGTTCTTTCTACTATTGCAAGGGTTATTAAAGGGTTTTAATTGTATAACTTAAATTCTATCAACCACAATAGACTTTCAAATAAAGTATTTTCAATTTTTATTAGGGTTAGTTATTTTCAACTATAGTTTAATTATTTCTATCATGGTAAATTATACAAGTGCTTAGTTATCCTCTATTTATTATGATAGAGTTGGTCATTGTGGTTAAGTGTATGGTAGAAGAAGATGATATTATGGAACAATAATAACTTTTACAGCTGCGCTCCTGATAATGGGGGGGGGTTTTAATTCTGTGCCAATATAAGTCCTCAAGATTGAATTTTTACAGAGTGAAATGCTAATTATTTGCGTGAAAATGGGAAACCATGCTTAGTAAGGAAGGAAAGTGTCAAGGAGAAGAAAGAAAAGATAATTGTGAGAAGAAAAAAAATCAGACCAAAAAAATAAGAAGCTCCTCAAAATCCAAATTCTAATCCAAATCTAAGAGATCATTAGCCTCTTACCAATTGAGCTACGCACTTGTTGATGTCTCAGAGATCATTTTAATAAAAAAAAACTTAAATCTAATTAATCATGCATGATGTATCCCATCATTATGCTATCTTGACATATTGCATTCCATTCTATTAATGATTATTTCATTTTATCATATCATTAACTCTCAAACACCAATGTTAGGTAAGAAGTGAGTAGAAAACATTTTTTTTTTAATACAAGAAGAAAGAATAAGTACAAAACATTTAGGGTAGGACTACAAAATATTGGGACAATAAAACTTTTAATTCCTTAAATTTATCTCAATTGTCAATTTAATTTTTCAAGTTTAATTTTTATATATTTGATCCATCATGTTTTTTAAAATTATCATGTTAATACTTTAAGTTTTACAGCACAAATTACTTCTCAAATTAATTTAATATACAAAGTATGCTGATAACTTTGCATGCATGTGTAATTAAAAAAACCAAATTAACCCTCAAATCAATTTAATTTTTATCATTATAGTTCCTTACACTACATAAATTTGAACAATGTCTTCTTCTTTTTAAAACAATAAAAGACCAAATTGACAATTGCGATAAAATTTAAGAGACTAAATTATTAAAAATTAAACTTAAATGACTAAATTGATAATTGAAACAAATTTGAAGGATTAAAATTTTCATTATTCTATAAAATATTTAAGAAAAACTAAACATTTTTCCAATATTGCACAAAATCTAAATAATAAAACTAAATAGTATCATGTATGCGTATATATTCTTAGTTCTTTTCTTGTTGCCAAATACCCCTATAAGCTAGAAGTGATGTGATGCGGTGACCTTGTAATTTTAAGTGGTATAAAAAAAATGTCATCGAAAAGAAAGCATACACTTTTCAGAAGTATCACTATCACACAGTCCTATCATGTCACCAGGTCACTGCATTGCATTTTACTGGAAGTCCTTTTTATAAACAACGCTATCACAGAGAAGCTAGCAGAGAGACCAGAGATTGCAGCCCTGCTCTGCTGCACCAAGTTCCACTTGAAAATAATTACACCAGGCTTAAACTATGTGCATCTTCAATTCATCACCTCACCACACACACAAAACAGAAGCTACCAAGTTCAACATGACTCATTACACAATTCTTATGCTATATATATATATACAAATAAAACCTGTAGATATAAGCACTTGGCTCATATTTACATTTACTAAACAGCAGGGATGGTGTGTGTGTGTGTGTGTGTAGTTGTATTCACTCTTTGTGGTTGGAGGAGCGATCCTTTCTGTGTCCACCAAGAATACGAGAAATCTGTAAACCTCTACTAAATGCTTGGTTGAAGAGCATTCTTGTTTGGAACTCTGAAACAAAAGGAAACCATGCAAGGAAAGCCACAGGAGTGAACAGAAGCATTCCCATTATTATCTCGTACCCGCGAGCAAGTGCTCTAATTGATCCCCATAACTGAGCTTTCACAACGAGAGGCTTCAAAGCTTGTGCAATCTTTTGGAACAACAAACCAATCAGAAGTAAACAGCATTAGGAGATATATAATTCAAGTGTGCATGTAAGTCTGAGTTCAGAAGTAGGTAAAGAAAAATAGGGTGTAATTCAGACATTCAGTCTTATATGTCTATTATTACATTTTGGGAAAATATAACTGTTGGCTCCTGTAGTTTCAGCGTGTTTTGGTATTTGTTTGTATGCTTTACTCTCTTTTTTTTTTGGCTCCGAGTTGCTTTAGTTTTATTCATCTACAATATTAGTCCCTATATTTTTAAATATGACCATAAAGGACTTAATAGTGACTAATGTGCATATAACTTCTGTTACTTCTTGCACTGACTTGTTAAAATTATAATGAGTTGTATAAAAATAAGTAGAAGGCAAAAAGAAATAAGCAAGAAATTAAATCAGAATTCTTAAATGTGCAAAGCTTCAGAAAGAAAAAGACATGACAGTTAGGACAAAAAGGTTGATAATCATTTTACTCATATAATATCCAACTCATCATAATTTTACCAACTTAGCAGCAGAATTAACAGTTATATACATATCAGCAGATTTAACTTTGTCAGTAACGACAAAGACTAACACTATAGATAGATGAAACTTAAAGAACTAGTAGCAAAGAAAAGAAAGTATAGAAACTAATACCAAAACATGCTGAAGTATATGGACCAACAGTTGTATTTTCTTATATTTTAAACCTATCAAATGCTTCATATGACATGTTGGAGAACTCATTCTTGAAAGATTGTTATACCTATTTAACGTTAATCTCCAATGATCTCTGAGTGCTCAAATAGTCTTTAACATACGCATTGCACATTAGAACATTAGTCTTTCTAGTATACTTTGAGCAATTGACAAATGAAACTGACTTGCAGCGAGTTTGTTCTTTTCAGGAATTAACTTTGACATTTTTTAACCACAGTTTCTATCCATCTAGACAAATATGGTATTCTATCTGACAAATGAAAGCCTCTACACAAGGAATTCTAAGGTCAAAAGCTTAACCTCCCTCAAAAAAAAAAAAAAAAATCAAGCTAACAACACTAAAACAAAATGTTTGACATGTTTGGTATTATTATATTCTTATTATATTACGTAGTAAACTTTATTTAGTTCTCTAATCCTAAGATAAAAGTGACATTTCTCATTTATAAGAGTAGTGCTTTTCTATAATTTTAGAAATAAACATTGACTTACCAGTAGCAAACCCCAGCCAGTAGGCAAGACTGCGAGAATGCAGACTATGATGTCCTTGAGTGTCATATGAGCAAGTGCTATTAATATGATGAAAATGGCAAGGAATGTGATGAAAATAAAACCCTCAATCAGTCTAAATAAAAGCTGGAAGTCTGCACTGAGGCGTCTCCTTCCAACTGACACGCCCTGCAGGTAAAATGCAACATAATCTTTAGAAGGCAATGCTTTCTCTATCTCACTGCTTTGCTTTCACTTGCAACCTCAACAGTAATTCATTAACAACGGTGTCAACAAGAAAATATTAACACAGATGGGTCAACATGAGTTGATAATTTTATCACAAGCAATTCCAGATTTCAAATTGGACAGGATTCAAGCCAATGCTTACAGCACAATAGAGCATATAGCCAAACTTCTATCTGCTTCCATATTTGAAGCTACTGCTTCACAGCTAAGTATGCACCGCAGCCAAGGCCCGAAAGATAAAGAAAAGTAAACATCTGGTGGATTTGTATTCGCTATTTAATTACTTTGGTTCGTAAGAAAAATGAAATTATCATGAGAAGTTCATCTTTGATATATTTTTCATGGAAGGTTCAACTGCACCAAATATGAAGTACACAGGCAACAAAAATCTTCTACATTCTGAAATCTGGTTTAATGGAAAAAATTCGATGCTTCAAATTCATTGAACCAAGAACTTCAACAACATTGATAGTATGAAAGAAAAAGTCGAATGTAATCAATGCTTACCTTCATTAAACCCAATATTAGAAAGATTACAATCCAGGAAATACCATAAACCTGAAAGCAAAAAGCAGTCAAATTAAATTGCAACCAAGTAATGCACACCACTAGTGAAATGAATTCTCCCAAGGACAAATATAAGAAGAACACATTTACCAGAAAATTCTGATTCGTATTAGTGAATGAGAGATGATATACGAGACCATATTGGTATAAGAAAAAGCGAAGGGCCATTATTATCTCAACAGCAAGACCACGCTTTCCAGAGTGGCGAAGATGCTCTTGCTCTTTTTCCCACCAGGATTCCCAACTTTTTGCAGGAGGTACACCTATACCTCCACGGTTGAGAATCCATTTATTCCAGTCCGTCCAGTCATCAACGATCTTTTGCCACTCAAAGCCTGATGGATTGAAAAGGAAGGGAGCAAAAAGCCATGTTCCTACCATGAACCACATTGACATGGTAATCAAAACATAGACAACCACATTTGCATATGAATGACCAAATATATGGTAGACTATAAGCAGAATCATCAATTCAATCCCTTTCACAAAATGGCTGCGCGAATAAAGCCTGTAATTATCAGCAAACTTGGCATGGAATACCACAAAACCACGACCTGTGCCTCTGTACTCTGCACCCCCATGAAGCAATGTCCTTCCATAATAGTGGGTTTTTGTTCCAAGAGTAAATGTGAAAAATACAGGAGCTAACTGGAGTTGCATTAACACAAATTCACTGAATGCCTCACGAAAGCCTTTCTCCAAACCAATTTCCATAATCATAGGCAAAGCCAGCAGAAGTCCAATTTGTACCACAGATTGAGAAGCAAGGGCCACTTGAAGAGGCTTGTTGTTTCGAATAGCACGTTGTCTGTTCAGAGCTTCTTCAAGTCCACTGAGGACAAGATAGAGGCGGCCATAAAGGAATATATAAACTGTGAGGACAGTTAGCTGTCAAGAGATCAGTCAGTAATCGTACTCGATCACATATGATATAGCACTAAAAAGAAATTAGGTTTCAAGCATACCAAGGTACTGAAATAGAAGCCAGTGGTGGTGTAATAACATGATAACATTCGGAAGAAATCAAAGCGGTGCCCCAGCCTATATATGTCCCTACTCATAGTCTGCTCACCGTTCCCATTAGCTATCTTTGCTTCAAACATTGAGATTTGATTAAGACCCACATCTCTTCCTTTACCAACTTGTATGTATTCATGATGAGTGACATTTCCGTCACGTAATGTAGAATTAAAACCTGCAAAACCAAGGAGATAAAAAGTAAATAGTGAAGACAAGACATGCTATTGATATCTCTACAAAGTGGGGGGGGGGGTTTATTTGAAAGAAATGGAAATAAGCAATCCAAATGGAGAAAATTATTCACAACACTCATACCTGCAAATATATCCTCACTTAAGTTAATGATTTTAGAAGCCTTGCTCACTCCCCCTCTTGTCAGGTGGAACAGTCTGTCAAATACGTCTGGATGGCCGTAATGGAACCGCACTCTAAATGAAAAGCACAAAAAACACCACTCAGCACTTCAAGCAATATGAACCATGCCAATAGAGCATACAGATTAACAGAAACTTTAACATATAAACCACGCCATAGACTGTTCACTAGCCTTAGTATAATGAGAGGAAAAAAAAACATGAAAAATAAAGGCAGACACTGATCCATTATTAACTTGAAATATTTTAAGCATGATTATGATTATGGGGCATAAACCTTATACAGCTAAAAGGAATTATGTTTTTCAAGTCTCAGTTTCATATGATCAAAATACTACAAATATTGAGGATAATGCCTGAAGGAATTATTAGACTTTCTCCTTTTGACAGAGAGGTCTGCATATGGCAAAATCTGAGTCTCACAGAACAACAACAACAACAACAACAATAACAACAATAACAAGCATTATTATAGACCAGGAGAGGGGAAAATAATCCTTCGATTGATATTATTTCAGTAGAATGGGAGATATAACAAATGTGATCAGCCCAATCAATTGTATGGCCGAAAAATCAGGGAAGTTAAAATAAAAAATAAAAGACTGATCCAATAATATTTACATTAAATATTCACATAATTAAATATGGAACTTTCGCATTATACCATTACGTTTTATCAACAACTAACTCTTTGAATGTACCATAAGGTCCACAGCTCAATAACTTCTTTGAATGTTTTACTTGGTCTTCCACTGCCTCCCTTCATTTGACTCAAGTCCACCTATTTAACCCTTCTCACCAGCACCTCCATCAACTTTCTTCTACATGTCCGAACCACCTTAAATGGTTTTCTGCCATTTTCTCCTTGATAGACACCACTCAAACTCTTTCCCATATACGGATATTATGAATCTTATCTTAAATTTGAGTCATAAGTTCTAAACAATATCTTCTGTTCCTCTAACCAAACATTATACAACACATCATCAAGAAAAATCTTCACATTTATTATGAGCTGAGGCAGATGACGACGACTTTTTGCCAGAAATATAATTCCCTGAGAAATTGGTTACTATAAGAGTTCAAATGCAAATCCCATTCCGAGAGTTCAGAGAATCATTCTGTGGTGAAACCTGAAAAAGCTGATACCTACATTTCCATTTGGTTTCACAAAGAACAATCTGCCCCAGATTTAATGAGAAAAACTTAAAATCTTACCTCAAAGGGTTAGCCAACACTCTTTGTCCAATTGTCACAAAACTAGTTTCCTGATTTGACATAAACCACGCAAGGGATGAAACACTGCAACAGAAATATGAGAAAAAACGATTAAATGACAGTCATTTATGAATTTTAGTATATCAAAATTTTTTTACCAGAACTATGGAAAAATTGATTGCACCAGTCAATACCTGCCCGTAAATATGTGCTCCCTAACTCCAAGTATTGATGGATACCTTACACCATCATGTTTTTTGAGAAATTCTTGCAGCAAATTCCTCATTTTGAAAGCTTCTTCCATATAATTATCCTGTAAAATAAATACTTAATATCTGAAATTTTAAATGCATTTCTTTCAACAATTTTCTTTATTATAAAGTAATGATGGAAGACCTGATTCATATCTATTGTTTGCAAGCCTTCACCACGAGTAAAAATGATGGCATGGTTTTGATTTTCTGGCTTACCCTCCCCCAATATAGGAGGTCCCGGAAGTTTTATCCTGTAAATTACCTACAACAAAAATAATTAAACATTAAGTTTGAAAAAATTATGCCTACTGTAAAGAAACATCATAATGACTGGAATTTCATCTTTATGCGGTGCCAAACAGCATACAAAAGAAAAATATATTCATCCAAAAATCTCTTTCACTGGTTGTGTTGCACCTCATTTCGGAACCAGAAGAAAGAATATTTTACTCTTTCAATCCTCCAGAGAACAGCCTTTATTATCCAATGTGTAACCAGCCACACCATCATAACTTGGTCTCCATTAGTTTGTCATTCAGTTTTAGTTTCAATGACAAGGTTGTGAATTTAATATATAATCATGTGAAGAATAAATAACAAGGTCATTTATTGGTGAAGTTATCATAACCCCAAGAATGGTCACAGAACAATACCTGGTCTAAATTTGGAGCAGTTTCATTTGAATCAATTGATTTTGCTGGTAAGGCAGCCTTTGCAAGAGCAGAATAATAAACCTTTTCAGTTGCTTTTCTGGATTTTTCTTTGCTAGTCTCTTCAACCTCATCAACATAAGCTACTCGAAGAGCAGGGTATCTGCAACAAGGCTATCAGGAAATGTAGCAGGAGAATGCCTGCAGAAGCTGTAACAATCCAAAAGCTTAATTTGAGAGGCATACTTGGTCATGAGCTTCAGAATGTCTTTGGCCCTAGGATCACCAGATCGCTTGTGAATGCCATAATTCTGACATGAAACAACATATGTGAACTTCAAATCAGCTACTGCTTGACATTGTGTCCACAATGACCGCTCACTCTTTGGGTTTTTCATACTTTCCAGTTCAGCAGCCTTGTAACCTTTATTTAGTTCTGTTCAAGGAATTGAAATTACAAGGTTAAGTTGTGTGTAGAACAGAAAAGAAAGTGACTTGTCTCTCGCTGTTTTTTTTTCCTTTTTTGGTGCAATAAATTCTTTCCAAGTACCTTCATCCTTTGCCATATCAAGAAAAGCTTGCAGCTCCAAGGCTTGTCGGTAATACATCATTCCTCTTACTTTACTCAATATGAGAGAGAGAAGTAAAAGTGAACAAGGGACAGCCACAATCATGTAAGCGCAAAACAGAATGATAAATTACATATCTAACACAAACACCCACAGCGAGACACATGTATACTAGGAGAAGGGAGGAGAAGCAATTTGTACCAGTTTTGGTCAATGTCTGGCCTCTGTATGATGCCCATAAACGGAGTTCTTCTTCCAATTTTTCATCTCCTCTGAGTCCTTCTTCGCTAGGATAATTGACACGTTCAAGAAAATTTTTCCACTCATCTGTTGTGAAATGTGATTTAATGGGAGAGCATGTCACTCCATTGAGTATGGAGGGAGAAGAAAACAGTAGATAATTTTAATTATAAAATTCTTTCACCCTTGCTAAAGCGTTTAAGCTTTTGGGTTAACTTTTTCCCTTTTAATCAGGTTGTCTAGAATTTAACCCATGCCACCATCAATCAATATAACTAAAATTTCATTTATAGTTTCACTTTAAGGAATTTTATTATCACAATTCAATCCTAGTGAACTTTCACATAAGGGGGAACACTACAGTAATAGTAATCATTCTGGCATCTTGCTTAGTATTGCAACAAAGGAGACATTCGGTATACCATCATCCAAGATAACGAGTGTCATAAGGTCACACAATTTTAGGTGGTATCTCACACCGCTCAAATACCATGTGTATCTCACATCTCTCTCTTCATAGCCTCATTGATTTGTACACAACTTGTATCAGTTCTATGATGATTTACAATTGTCATACCAAATGTGAGCCCTGTACTTTGGCAACATATATTTTGGTATTCAAAGGATTATAAGATATGAGGTAATAATGTATCAAACTCATCCTTAATCTTTTTATTCTAGAAATTCTTTGACAATGATATTTAGATGAGAAAGGATTGACCTGGAAATATCTTTTGTAAGTAAAAAAGGATAGAAACTCCATCTTCGTTCTCCTCTTCAAGATGGTCTACAGAGAAAAGAACAGGTTCTTCATAGTATGGTGTCAGGACTCTACAGAACAAAGTTGTAAATTTTGTCAGTTGACATGTTACGGACAGATTATCCTCATCTCATTTATATCATATTCGCTCCTTCTAAATGCTGCTTATTACATACCACTATCATAGATAACTCTCACTTTATAAGTCAAAATAAGTTTCTGCAATATGTGAAGCAAGTTCAAGATGAAATTGAACTTACGAAAAAGAAAGCATATGTCGAACTTTGGGAGCATCTGGCATATCCATAAACAATGAATTGGAGAAGAAAGATATGCGCCTCCTAGCATCCAAGTTGGAAGGTACATCCATAGCAGACTCCTTGACTGTAAGCAATAAATGAAGTCTTTTGATCTGCAGAAAACAACATAACAATCAAATATAATAATATGCCGGAGCAGCGAATGAGAAGATGGTCCAAATAACAATCAAATATAATAGAGCCACACTTGACTATAAGAACTAGCTATGGCTAGTCCATTTTGCCCAGACGCTCCATTTTCAGATAAATTGACAGTGATAGAAAACTCATTACATGACATACTAACAACAATAGCTTAAAACATACTTTCTCTTTCCAAGCTTCAGTATCCGTTGTGACAGGAAAGTTAAGCGAACCAAAAAACTGATGTTGTTGATCAAGGGGAGTTAACTTCTCATCTTTTCCATGAGATCCACCATGGCTTGACTCTTGCAAGCTATGTGTGAAAGATAGTGAGTCCATAATAATCACAACTAATCAAATTATTTAGGTATATGGATCATCTGAAATTACTTACTTCTCAACCTCTTCTCCCTCCATTATGTCTCTGGTCACAACCTCTAGCATGTCGAGCAAGAGAATTACAATTTGGTCCTTGTCATCTTTATCATTTTTCATCTGTAGATATTAAAAAAAAATATATGCTTAAATATTACATTTGACACAATAAAAAAACAGAAAAGTAAAATCTTCAAACCAATTACCAGATATTCAATTAGTCTAACAAATTGATCGTATAAACTAGGGAGGGAACTCATATTCAGTTCAGTCAGCATTTGTCGGTTTCCTATGAGAATGTCAACTTTTTCAAAAAGACCATTGATATACCTGCATTAGTAAAACATCGGGTACCAACGTCATGAGATGAAATTATGCCAATATTTTCTCTAATATAAATTTCAGACACCATCAACTTACTTTTTCTCATGATCCCCTGAAACCAAGAAGTTAATAATATTTCTAAATGAAGCATAGCATTCAAGAACAGCAGAACGCATATAGTTGTCCCTAGACAATCTCTTTTCCAGCTCAAGGCCTTTTCCAATACTGTCTTTGGCCATGGACACAGCTATGGGAATCTGTTAACAGCTATTGAGTTACAAGTAAATTTAAGCAGGATAATAATTACAAAACCTAAAAGAATTGAACAAAGGTGTGTATTTGGACCTTGCTAGCAAGTAAGAAAGGAGGCCATTGGATGAGGTTCAAATAAGGGTCAGCCCCATATGGTACAAGCAAGAGATCCATTTCCCTATAACATTTATTATTGTCAGCTTTATTGATGAGAGCACATAAAAACCTCAACACTTAATGTTCACTATGGACAAGGAGTTAAGGTCAACAATGCTGTTATTTTATCACCTGTTATCAATTAGGTCCTCCTGCCTTAAACCGGTAATTATTTTGTTCCATAGCTGTGCAAACCTTGCAGCCTCCTTCTCTTTGTTATTAGGGACCTAAAACATTAAGCTTTGTCAGGTTTATATTCTAATGATCCACACATGCTGATTGATTTTCAGAATCAGTCATGGTTAGAAACAGTATCAGTTGGGAAGACCTTATCAAATTTCCGTGCAAAAAAGGCTTTCAGTCCCTTCTTCTTTGTTGTCTCAGCCTTATCCGATGGAATCAAGCGAGCATTAAAAGCTTCCGGAAGTGAACCAAATCGAGACCTCAGTAATTCCAGAGTGCGAATCTGAAATTAAATTGAAAACAGTAATTGAGTACTCGAGGATCAATATGTCCTCAATCACTGCAGCAGAAAGGGGATGGGTTGATCACTGAAGTGGGGTTAAGGGGAGAAATTAAATGATTGAGAGAGGGGATGCAGGTCAGTAAAAAATCATTGCCTCCATTCCCTCATTCATTTCTGGTATTCTTCTAGGTCAAGTTTTGAGGGATGATATGCACATGTACCTTCCATACAGACTAAACATTACATGGCGAAAGTGCGAAAAAAAAAAATAGAAGAATAACAAATGACCATTGGAAAGAAAGTAACGACAGACAAACCTCTCCCAAACGACGAAATGCACCATATATACCCCCTACAAGTGTGGAGTATATAGCATACCAAATCTGAGTATCCATAAAGTAGACCTGCAAAGGACCAACCTAAATGATTATATTGCGTATGAGAGGTTTCACACAAAGGTATCACACAACTAGATAGACATACAAGAATGATAGGAGCCCATATAACAACCACAACACCAATATTGTTTCTCGCTGTAACAGAGAAAAAAAGGATGAGATTAGAAGAAGTCCTGATAGGAACTAATCTGTCAATTTAATTTAATCATGCAATTACCTTGAGGGAAGAACTCATGCCACTTGTAAGTTGATACATGAACACGCATGATGGCTTTTGTAGGGCCTACCAGAGGCTTAATCTGCAATGATAAAACATAGAGTTGAGAGAAAAATTGAATTGCTTTCATTCATATGAATATGCCTATTTACATGCATTGGGAGCCCCTAGCATTAGCCACTAGATAATACTTTCATTATGACTAATTTCTATAGTCAAGATAATATTAATTGCAAAATATTTACATTAAACTTGGAATATTCTCTAACACTTCCCCTCAAGTTAGAGTATAGATGTTAATTATGTCCAACTTGTTAAAAATATAATCAACTTGAGGTCCTTTCAAAGCTTTAGTAAAAATGTCCCCTAGTTGATACTCCAGTCGTGACATAACCTATGGAGATGATTTTTTTTCTCGAATCTTTTCTCAAATGAAATGACAATCAAATCCAATATGCTTAGTTTGTTCAGGGAACAGGGATTGGAGGCAATGTGAAGAGAAGCTCGGATGGCAAACCATAACTTTACAAGTAACGAGGTTTTAAGACCAACCACACGTAACAACTGATATATCCACATAATGTCACAAACTAAATGTGTTGCAGCTCTATATCTTGATTCTGCGCTTGATCAGGACACTACATTCTGCTTTCTACTTTTCCATGATACTGGATTCCCTCCCACAAAAACACAATATCCCATAGTAGACCTTCTATCAACCTTGGATCTTGACCAATCCACATTAGAAAAGCATTCAATATTAGTCTGCCCATGGTTTCCATACAATAGACCACGTCCTAGAGATCCTTTTAGATGAAAAGGGATTCGTTCAAAAACTGGCCAGTGAGCGACTGCCGGAGAAGGCATGAATTGACTAGCCTCACTAATAGAGAATGCAATATTGGATGAGTCATGTAAGATCTTTTAGTATAATTCTATCATTATAACTAACTCCTAAAATCAAGCTAATACTAATTACAAGATATTTACATTAAACTTAGAATATTATTTAACTTCAAGAAATAAACCAGATGAATTAAATCAAGACGAGAACGCAGGATGCTATGGCAAAGATTTGGCACCTTTTTGTATGTTGAACTATAATTATAATAACTCCATAGATCATCTAGAGGTTCATAGATACGGGAATGGGTCTATATTTCTTATGCATACAAATATAAGAAAGGAAAAATATGAAATTAATGAAATGATGTGCATATTTCTTGGAAGTAGGCATTCAATCAAAATTCTCATCTGCATGAATGAGTTATAGACACAAACTAAGTTATCTATAAACTAGTTATCCGGATCAGCCAATTAAATCATCTTAAGAAGTAGAAAATAACATCCATTATTTGCAATCATTCTAATTGTCAATATCAAAAAATGACATAGTTCTAAAGAACTGTCACCTCACCTCCACATAGTAACTGAATGCTAATTTTGATAGAATCAAGAGAACCCAGAATATAGTGTACCTAGAAATTAAAGCAGCCACGATATGATCAGCCAGAGCTGTCAAGCAGTTCATAGAAACTCAATAAATGAAATCTACTATCTTACTTTAAAAGTGAAATTGAGCTCTCATGCATTCCTCTTCCAACAAAGAGTCGAGGCTGAAAAAATATTTTAATAAAATTAAAAAAGAAAAATAGAAAAGATACTGAACAGAGAAGCTGAACATAAAGAATTTTCCAGCAAGGTATTTTAAAGCAGAAAAACACCACTATTTTAAAGGAAAGAACAGTTTCCAAAATGCATAAATAAGAGATACACATCACAGATGCATCTGCAAACCTGGGACCACCACATCATAAGCTTCACAACGTTATTGTTAGACCTTTCAAGAATCCGCCGTATGAAGGGGAACAGAAATAACAGTGCAGACAATATATTTGGGGCTAGGTAGATGAAGATAGCCAAAATGAACATAGAAGGAGAACTCGCACTATTGCCAAACCAATTCCTGATGGTTTGTGCAAAACCAGATGGATTTTTCCAGCTATATGCATAAGTGACAGGTAAAATTATGACCCATGCTGCAGCTGAAAGGGCTTTGAATATGTATCGCAGCTTGACATGAATTGACATGTACCTCCTTGCTTTCCAGCTGAGGATTATATCCAGGATGGCTAGAAAATAAAATAAGACATCAATTAACCATCAACGTCATAAAAAAGAACTATTTTGTTTCCTAATGCAATGAAGGTCCATGTACACATTCTGTAGTCACTAAAAGAATTACATAATAAATATTTTCGACAAAATGCTGTACATCACAATTAACAGGAAGACATATTTTGTCAAGTCAAAGTAGATACATAAGTGGATGTGTTTTGACTGGATTCTGACAGTAAGATCAGCAATTAACAAAACACACACAGGATGCATCACCATGTCATATTACTGAAATGAAATATTCAACATTAAAAAATTCCATTAATTCAGCTTTTTCAGAAAATCTTCCCAATCTAACATCTAGTGGTAGCGGGTTATTGATCATATGAACAATTCGAAGGCCTATCTGTCACTGTAGCTTCAATTTCAAAATGTAGTTTACTTTTTACATGATTACTAAACTTTCTGAACAGTAGGCTACATGTTTCAGCTTAAAAAAGAAAATGGAAACCAAAATTATGAAATCTGGATTGACATTCCAAAAGTTCAGTGTTCTCCCCCCCCCCCCTTATATTAGTTTTATGAATTTTGAGACAGAATAAATTCATGGAAATAAGAGATTAGATTCTAGAAAAATTATAAAATGATTGTGACTAGAATATATGTGAAAGAATAAAGGAAATTATATTTTGCCTCTACCTTGTGCAAGCTTCAATATTGCAGCAGTTATAAAGATACTCAAAACTTTCTTGAAAACATCACCATCAAATATGGAGCTTAAATGGCCCGAGCCGTTCCAAGCTATGATGATCATTGCCTTAAGTAGACAGAATAAGCAGCATGTTTCATAAGAATAAACGGAGCTAGAGTCACGTGTGTAAAGTAAATGCCATATCTGAATTTTTTACCTGTAAACATATTATATAGAAGCTCCACATTCTATCAAAACTTCTAAATACATGCCAAAACGTGCGTATCTCAACAAAATTAACTTTTCCCATCCATGGACCTCCCTTTTCCTGTTTTTACGAACACAAAAAATTTAGGATAAAACCAAAAGAGAGAACATCTTTTGTGCCAATATAGAAGGGCATCATTGGATTGTTCAAAATTCAAAAGATATTCAGGGAGATATAATTTGGAATATAATGATAAAATGACACATTTTTGTCGGCTCTTTCAATATAGATAAATAGTGGACTGGACCTTTGACCCATTTGTCCACCAAAAAATCTGATAGAACCTCTACTCTATTAAGCTTAAAACAAGCAAAAGTCAGAAAAAATACTCTGCAAATGAGACTGAAAATGCTAGTGCTGAATAATAAAGTTGGATTACAAGGGAAATAATGATTCATGCCAATCCCACCTCCCTCATACACCCAAGCACTGAAACTACAATCACATAACAGCTAAAAGAGTAAACGGATCATTAAAAAATACGCCTCCATAGAACAGAAGCACAAGCATAAGCCACTCACAAACACACACTGAAACAAAAGGAGAAAATGATGAAGAAAGATGATCTTCCTCCACCCTAACCTGGCATTTGAGAGGCTAGAACTCTCCTCACCACTCTCAATGTTCAAAAGACTCCACCCCCTCCCTAGGCAAAAGGAAAGATTTAAAGAACCAAAAAGTTACAAAAAGACTGAACATAATCCTAGCTGCACCTAATCCCTATACAGCCAGGAACCTTAGGGTAATTCTCTTATCCACTGGAGGATGATTCTTTAGTCCACTAGAGTTGCTCTTTCCTACACCATTTCCCTTTCCATAGATTATACTATAGGCCCTAGGAAATGATACATCAATTTCTTCTAATTCTTCAGCTCTATCAAAATCATAAATAAATCTGGGACAATAGCCCAAACACATAGGAAGTACATGTTTCTGCAGTCCAGGTCCTAAAAACAAGTGGTTTCATTGCAAATTCATCTGCTGAATCCTTTTATTCTTTTCAAGATTAAGCTTATTCCTTATTATGGCAATACCAGCGTACACTAGTAGCTTCCTGCAAGCAAGAAGATCAACAATGGAAACAGATTTTGACATCAAAATCAGATGTTGGTCATGTCATGAACCACTCTTCCTAGAAGCTTAACTGCTAGGAGGTCTATGAATGATTTTGACTTCAATCTCTAACATGTCCCGTCATGCAAACCTTTTTAGACTTGAAGTGTAGACAAAACCTAAGCCTACCAATGCCAAACCATGTCATTAAGGAAAAATTAAAAACTCTAATTCCATGCAACTAATCAAATAATCCAAAAGCTTAAACCATTAAGAAAAGGGCCAAGATTTTTTTTTTTTTTTGAAATTATATACATACCAGAACCAACTAGAACTGGGTCCATGAACCTCGCACAATGTCTATGATAGATTATTGAAACTACTCCAGAATTCTTGTTGATTCAATATTAATCTCACCAAAGTCTTAGTCAGATACTACAGAAGCTACACTTCTGGAAATTGAAAGGAAAAAGGAAAGAAACATACAAACTCACAAGTATCTATGTTATTAAAGAGTTATAAACTCTCCCTAACAAACACAAAATCTTCCTTACCTTCTCTCTCTTTGAAACTGCCTATTTATGCAGTCACTCTCTCACACCTCTAACAGCCTGAGGTGCTGAATTCCCTTATATTCTTCTGTCCAACTATGCTTTGGGCTTCTATCTTGAATAAGTAAGCAAAGGCCCACGCTTTGCTCCCTTAATCTTCCTCTAGTACACTAACACTGGAGGCCCCATGTCCATCATAGATAAAAAAAAATATTCTTTTAAATAAGAGAAAGCACAAAATTGCAAGAAGTAAACAAGATTTACTGTTGCCCGATTTTATATTTAACTAATACCACTGCAGATCATGCCAACTTGACATGCGGAAGGCAGTATTGCAAATAATGCATAAATGCACACACACAGAATATGAAGCATGACTTAGAGCAAAACATAGTCACAAGCTCCAAAACCAAACCATTCAGTCTGGAAAAAGATCTTAAATCCTCTATAAATAATAACAATGTAATGAACAGTATCCTTCCATTCAATCTTCTTTTGAAGAAATAAGTAAATAATACAACATTTTCAACCCATTTGTTGATTCATAAGGGGAATGAGTAACACTTGAAATATTTTATACCTCATATTTATCATGTAGATGTTCACGAGACACTGAGAAAAACTCACACGTGTTACGCATAGGCCAGCCAAGGTGGAAACAATCAACAGACCTACAATTTGAGAATGATAATCCCTTAGAATTAAACTCTTCATACAAAAGAATTTAATTAAGAAAAAGCACAATACCAAAAATATTCATTTAAATCATCATAGTTTCTCCACTGAGAATGCTTTGCTCTTCCATTCTTACTCCTCTTGGCTTCCTGTAATGCAGAAAATGTGATAGAAGTCATACAAAATAATCAATATCGCAATTAACCAAAAGAAGTTCTTAGCGCAAAAAAGATGGAGAAGCAAACCTTGGCTATAGTATCATAAATTGGTTTTACTACTCTAGTCAAAAAAGCCTCATCACCACCTCCGCAAGCTGGCTTTACAGGTTCACCCGTCAGTGGACTAACATTTCCAGCCAACACCCCATACAACTCAAATGCCATCTAAGCAGATCAACAAGATAAAATGATCAAATTGTCATTGAAGTTGTATTGGCAACTACTCCATATTCAAATTATATACTTTTTAGGACAATAATATAATTCTACCCTTTCTATAAGTAAGCATTAAACTTAAATGCAGAACTTAGAGCCATCAAGCATATGGCGACTTAAAAACTGTTCTGGACTTCCAGGTTTCCAATTACTCTCACTTTCTCCATAAGGAAGTTGTCAACGGAGCAATCAAACAATAAACAGTTATTTCAAAAGCTTAAGTTGTCATGTTAGGAGCAAGATGGTGAATGCTTTTAAATTATATCTTGAGGTTCTATCACGACCATAATGTCTGGACCAACAGAGTATGTTTTTTTTTTTTTTGGGGGTGTTGAAAACAAGAATAGACATTTGCCTAAACAAGTAACGCATGATGAGAGCCAAATCTAGAAATTCCAATCCAACTATCATATCTTATCAATCTGGCAGAGCACTAAAACTACAAAAGCAACAGTTATTATAATGTTTTTACCACATTAAGAAATTTATTATTTTGAATTAATGTCTACATATCTAAAGCTAGAAAAGACACTAAATTCATCTTCTTTCTCCATATAATTCATACACCGCAACCAGAAAACTCCAAAATATGAGGTTGGAGCAAAGTTCTCTTCTTCTTATCAGGCCTGTCCATACAGGTATCTAGGATTCCTTCATGATTTCTTGCCATTTGTTGATTAGTGAAAGGCAACAGGAGAGATTTAGCAGACAGGCTAAGGCTAGTAAGGCAATTTAATATCCCTCTTTCTCTCTCTCTCTTTGGGGGGGGGGGCTGTGGATTCCCCTTCATGAAAAAAATAAACAAAAATAATTGGTGCAGAACATCATCAGTAAGTGTCGGATAAATTTAGAAGTGGATCATTCCACCAGAAAGGCAAAGAAATTTTCAGTTCCCTTCCCATTTTGCAAGAAGATTTTGAAATATTCTATCCTGAACTATACTTACATGATGATAGATATAACAAAGACATTCTGGCATGAATCTTAAATTTGCAGCTTCACCCCATATAAGAAGATATAGACCCATGTACAATAATTTGCGTTGTTGAACTTCCTGTTGAATAGTTGGCAACCTGACAATCAATAAGGTCAAGATACTTTAAAAATGGTACAAATCACAATCAGACCCAAAATAAGTGGTTTGGAGATCAGTAATGAGTACAGTGTAATAGGCTTTCAACTCACTGCCAACGTACCCAAAATAGAAAAAAAATCTGAACAGAAATTCTACCCAGATAATGTTGTACGGCATCCTCGGCCTCCACAAGAGAGAAGCATAAAAGGTACCAACAACAATTTAAATATAAGACTGTACTTGAGCTAAGCCTAAACCAAGCCAGTCCCATCCTTCACTAGCTTCTGCGATAACTTTATATGCACACACAACTACACCAAGGCAAAATTAACTTGCTCTACAGCTGTTCAGTTCATAAAGGCCAACAGTTTAGTCAAGCTGAGTTAAAGAGAGTTCTAGCTTTAGCCATAACTAGTTACACATAAGACCAAATTCAATTTTCTAATTAACATCCAATAACATTCGAAATAATTACTATGTTAAGATTTGGGAAACTCACCAAAGGCTACTTTTGCGACCCAAATACTTACACCACCTTTTGTAGTTTTTAAAGAGCTTCTTCATCACTTCTGTTAGAGCACGATCATCCAACTACATAAAAAGTTTACAGCTTAGTAAGAAGAAAAATAAAGTCTAAATAAGGTATAAGCCTGAACAAATATACAAATAAAGAAGAAACCTTGGTAGGTTGATCAAGCTTTGGATTTTGTCGTATATGTATATTTGCAAGCAAAAGAATCAAGTGCTCCCTTTGATTTTCCACATTGTCCTTCTGCAAAATAATATAAGGATCATATTCTGTGGATTAAATATGAAAACCAAATAATGAACATAAATCCATTAGACCACTACCTGGAAACCAAACATGACCTGAAGCCAATCCAGAATGTCTAAATTTACTTTCTTGGGGTAACCATTTGGCCAAGTCAGACCTCTGATATTACGAAGGGCAGCAGCAGCAACTTGAATCTGTAAATAGCTAATAAGTTCATCACTACTTCTAAGAAAAGAAATTTCTGAGCTAAAAGAGCGTTGCTTCAAGAAGTACATTGATGTATGAAAGGGATTACAAAATTGTTAACCATCCAATGCTGCATTTTCATTTATACTGTTGTCTTGTGGCATCTTAACTCTGGGTTATTTGGCAATAACAGTCTGTGGATATCAAGAAATAATGCATGTGAACAAACCTCAGGATATTTCATTATAGCCTCTTTCCCACTCTCTGGATCAAGAGGCAGAATATTATAAGGGGCATATATCTGCTTCTGCTCCTCAACCACAGTGTGAGCTTCCAATATCTGCGATTAAAAAAATATGATTAACCAAAAAATTAAACAGTGAAGTTTCTTTACTCTTTTTACTTGCAAATTTCAGTCAACGATCACCAAACTAATACAACCCAGAAAATCTCAAGTAAGAAAACAGTAATTTTACCTCATTAGCAACTTCAACACCTTGTGTTTGATTAACTGCTTTCAAAACCTCAAATAAAACAGAAGCAGTCTGATACGCTTTTGTGAGCTGGGCACTGGAAAAAGATATGAAGTTAATTTCAACATTATTTTTTAATGGAAGGGAGAATATTATATTAAGAGAGTTGAGGGGAATTTTTGCTATTTATGAAATGTAAGGCGGTTAAAATCAAGTTAATGATCAAATTATTGATTGATTTAGATCGTAAACTTACCGGTCCTTATCAGCAGCATTTTGCAGAGCTTGTATATATTTTTGATAATAATGCCGATAAAAACTTTGTATTTCACGAGCATCACTCTTTGCCCTTCCAACCAATGTTGTTTCATTTTCCTGAAAAGAATAAAACCTTAGCTCCATAATGGCAGAGTTTCAAAGAAATACCTTACAAATTAACTACTGACATCCAGAAATATCCATTGAAACTGTAAGAGACTTTTTTTTTCCTTCTTTTCAGCTGGTTTGGTCTACCTTATCTAATGTGTTGATAAGAGAATTGTACTGTTCATAATCTGTAAGCATTGTCTTTGTCTTGGGCAGTTGGTCTGCTTGCTTCTTCATGATTTTTTTGTCTAATCCTCTCACACAAATTTTTAATGTTTGCCATGTGTTCTACAAACTTCGAGAAACCACCGCTAGTTGTTCTACTTGAATCATTGATAACTAACACTAAAGCTTCCTCCCCTGCCCCTTACTTTTCAAATGCAAAATTTACTCCCTAGAGGTTGTGGAAGGAAAGAATCATAAAAGGTTATCTTTGCAAATTACATTAAGACTTACCTTTTCTAGACGCTGAAGAAGAGCAGTTTTGAATTGGCGAACACCACGCCCATTGGAAGAGGGATCTAATCTGTGAGCTTTTTCAAAAGCATAAAACCGACCTAATCATACAAGTTACATTTATAAGCTCCCAAAATTGAATAGAGCTTATAAATAATCTATTGCAAAGTCATGATCAAAGGTAGATATCAGCATCTCATCTAGAAAAACAAAAAGCAGCAGCAATTTCCCAATTATGTGACGGTAACAAGAAAAATGAAAGGAACTTGGAAATGGATTCGCTTTTCAAATGAAATTAAACACACAAACATAGAATACAGCTAACAGAATATGAAATTTATAGAAAAGAGTAACTTAATGAACTAAGAAAAAAAATGGGAGGAAAATTAGTGAAACCTTCAAAAACACAGTTTTACTTCTCAGGGAGTATAAAAGAACTATGAATTAATTCCATTTTAGCTATTAAAAGCAGCAAACTCATTGCAAAATCAAGAAAAACAGAAAGCACTCATAACTATCATTATCTTTGTTCCTAAGAAGATGAACCAAAATGATTTTTAGGCAGTCTGCCGCTAACAAATCAAGATTTTGGGTTAGAGATATATGCGAAATTATATAGAGTCTATGTGATCAAGTGCATGGGAGTTTGATTCATATTTATTAGTCCTACAATGATCAATTCTAGAATCTGACTGATCAACAGTTAAAATTCTCAAATGGAAACAGTAAAAATGCTAGACCTACAAAAAGAATATAGTCCAACATGCTTGACTTCAGACATATCAATACAGTAACTCACATAGGTATGCAACTCTTGGGTTGCTGTGCTCTATTTCATTGGCCACACGGAGGATGGGAGCTATTTCAACCAACGATGAAGGCACCACTTCACTGTCCACTATTGGGTCTAGTCCTAAATTTCCAGCCGTCTGAGTCCGCAATAGCCGCCTATGCGGTTGATGATCAGAGCCCCTTCTATAAGACATCTTGAGACTCCAGTAGATCAATTCATATAACTTATTTCATCTGCTATCATTATTGTAGTGTCATGGAGAGTATTAGTGACCAGATATATTGATACATTGCTAATGACAAATTACATCAGAATATCTGATTATGGCAAACCACTAAACTGAAAAAAGTAACACTTTTGCTTGACTATTTGGCTGTTCAGCACATTGCGCCTTTTCATCCTATTTTTCTTTCTATTGAACTATGAACAATCAGGGGGCCAAGAAGCACAATATGAAACCTTGCACGTGCTCATGCTATCCCGGTGATCCGCTTGGAAGATAATTCTCTATAATAGGAATTGAACAACCGAATATTCTTGAAATCCGTTATAAACTATGAATTAGTAAAATAATAAAACTGGACCAACAATATTGGTATGGAGAGAATTCCTCAATAACCAAGTGGCAGGGTTAGTAAACAGAGTGGCAGAAACAAGCTTACAAATTAAAACCAAAAAAATGAAATCTAATTTCAAATTCGAAAGAACCACCGGCAATCACAACTCAACAAGCCACTCAACAACTCTGTAAGCAGACACAGTGATATTCACGTTTTGTCAAACACCTAAAAAGCATCAAATCAATCAAGAACTTCTCTTCAGCTCTCACAATCTCTGAGCAGCCCAGGAAGCAAAAGGATAACTCATAACATGAATCAAACCAATGATACGGAAATCAGAGTAAAGAAAAGGGTGATCAAGTTAACCTCTTATTAAGTTGATTGATAGTAGTAGATGAAGCTCTTAGAATCATCAAATCAAGGTAAACGATTAAAAGATGATAGCTTTTATGAAATAGTGAAAGAAGAGAGTGAAGAAACTCACATGGAGCATTAGATAGTGAAAGAAAGATGATGGAAAAAAGACAAGGGATTGTTGTTGTGATTGAGCATAGTAAGATGAGACTAAAAGAGAAGTAACATCAAACAGAAGAAGAAGGATAGCAATGATAAACCGGGAATGCGCTCACTCACATACTTGGCCGTTTCAAGTCAATGTTATATTCTCTAGCGGGCAAAAGCCTGTCCAATGAGATGATGCCACGCCATGACTTGAAAGTTCAGATTGGTTTCCCTCTGCATCTGCTGACCGGCACTACAGTCGACCCGGAAATAACTGGGAAATTATATCAAAAAAATTGAACTTGATTAGAATTCTGTTTTTTGTTTGCCCGAATAAAAATTCTGTTATGAAATATTTTTTCACAACAAACTGTAAATATTCTTAAGGACCAAAAGTGTTACTATTTTGTTTAGGATTTAATATGAAGTTAAAAAAAATATTATTAGAGATTTCGAATTATTAAAATTATCATTATATTTTTTCTTAAAATTTAGTCGGCTCAAAGCATAGAAAATGTCTTTATAATTGTACAATAACTTTTGCCTTTGGAGATAATTACAGGCTTAAAGTTTTTTTAAACTTTTTTTAACATGATTTTGTGAAGTTTAGAGTTTTAGATGCAATTATTTATTGTTCCTTCAATTTATTTCAAAAAATTTTACTATCATATTATTATTTATATTAATTATTTTAGTTTACTAGACTCAATGATGATCTAAATCAATGTAATGAAAATTGAATCTGTAAAACATCAGTTTAAAGGTTAATAGTTAACCAATCATGAACAAAATATTTATTAAATCTATCAAAATACTAGTTTAACAATTTATTAATTAAACTAATCAGATTGACTCAAACTTTAATATTATAATATGAAATATTATGTTACAGTGAGAATATCATCATATTGTAGTGGCTTGGAACAATATTGTCTTATTTTTACTATAATGTTCAATTAAGCTATCATGTCACTTTGACACCAAATTTAATATGTGAATTAATATTAATAGTACATGAAATAAATAAAAAAACATTGAAGTTAGTAAATTCTTAAGTTTTATGTTAAATTTTCAATGAAAATAAACTAAAAAGAACAATATAAATATTTAACTATTAATTACAAACTATTATAAATTAAATCAATTTTGCATAAAAGAACTAATTAAAACATATTTTTTTATCTTGAAATGACTTAGAAAGTAAGCGTGAAAGGTTGCATCTTTGTTTTGTTTCATGACTTTTCAAGTAAAACCCAAAGAAAGAAGTAATTAGGAAAAGAGACACTTAGGTGGTAATGGGGTTAAGCCAATTAGCTATAATTAATTTTTAGAAGTAATTAACCTTTTTTAATGAAAAGAATGTGTTTTTTTCTTTGAAGAATTACAACAAGCACCTCTTAAAAAGAAGTAATAAGGGATAAGGATCAATTTAAAATGAAGTGTCGTTAAAATGCAAAACATAGTTTGTTTTTTCTCAAATGATATTTATTATTAGTCCTAATTCACAATTAATTTTTTTGAGAAGAGCTATAATTTTTTTTCTTTTTTTTTGTGCGTGCAAAGCTATTTTTTTAAATACAATTATTCATTATTCATGAACTGAATCAAATGGGATGATGCTGACTGCAAAATTCTCCTAACGAGTATTTAATGCTGCCAGCAAAGCTATTTATTTCTTGTATCACTTTTTTAACTTTTTAGTGTATGGTTAGTTTGGTTTCAAAGTAAAGGTTGCAATTGGAACTGATCTTTTCGACTCGAGCATCAGCCCAAAGTATTTGAAAGTTGCTTTTGTGTTTGTTTTGTTTTGGTTTTTTTTTCTCTGGCCTTTTATTAATATATTTTTCAATTTTTTATTGCTATGTTTTTTTTAAATGTGTAGATTTTCCACTTTCTGCCTCTTTTTGAGAGTTCTTTTCTTTTTTTTTTTTGAGTGATTATCCTTTTCAATTTTGATTTCTCTTGCTTTAATGACCGTCTCTGTCAATTGAGCTTTTTATTTTATTTTTTTTATATGAAATTTGAAGTCTCCATCTCAAGTCTTGAACAACAAGTTGGGTAACTAACTTGTTGAGTTATTTTGTTGTCTTTTATTTCTTTTGTTTGTCTAAAAAAATATCATTTTTTTTCACCAGAAAAAGATCTTCTTCTTCTTCTTTTTCAAGTAATCAGTTTAATATTTACAACTCACACACGTGCCAATGCAGGATTTAAACTCATCTCTTAATCAAACCATTGCAAATTGATAAATATGATATTAATATGAAACTCGAAAGAGGATAGATACTCACATACAATCCAAACCAATAAAAGAAATAACTTCCAAGCAAATATTAAATAAAAAAGATATAAAATATATTATAAAATAGGAAATAGATGCTTAAGATAGTAGAAAGTAAAATTTATCAAAGTCGGAAAATATTTAAAATTACTCCAAAACATGTTCATATTAAAATCTGAAACGAGTTTTTCTTTTCAAATTAAAGTTAAAATTTAATTAACTAACACATGAGAGAGAGGTTACAAACTCATCATCAACATCATGCAGTATCATTATATAGGATTAAGGTATAATTTTATTCTTAAATTATTCTCAGAGGAGCAAAATTGTCTCCAAACTATTTATCATAACAGTATTGCCCTAAACTAATTAAATCGAAACAATGTTGCTTTTGTCATTTAAATATTCGTATTGTAGCTAGTGAAACCTGCTTTTTAAAAATTAAGGTGTAATTTTACCTCTAAACTTTTTTTAAAAAGCAATGTTACTATCACCATTTAAAAATCATAAAATTAAATAAAAATAAAATTATAATAATATTAAATAAAATAATATTAAATGTATAACTAAATATAAAATTATAATAATATTAAATGTATATATAAAATAAATATGAGAAAAATATAAATTATAATTTTATAACTTGTTAAATATAAGTAAATTTTGATTAAATTATATATGAGTGAACTCAAAAGTATTTGCATTTGTACATATAACTATCAATATCTTTATAAAAAATGGTCTCAAATTATATTTTATACATGTGAATTGTTTAAAAATAAAGTTGGCTTTTAGTAAGATCTAATTTTTAAATTTTTTTATTTAAAAAAAAATAAGTTTTTTAATATTATGTTTAAAACCATTTAATTTTTTTAAAAACCGCTTCAATTTTTAATTCAATTTTGGTTTCTAATTTAATAGCGACTTAACTCTTGTCTAACCTAACTCAATTATAAAAATAATTTTTTTGGTCCACATTTAATTATTAATGATAGCTTCAATTGATAATTATGGGTGCAAATATAGATATTTTTGAGTTTACTCATATCTTAACTCAACCAAGATCCACTTATATTTAAAAAGTTATAAAATTATAATTTATAATATTATTAATTTATGATATTTTATTAACATACTATAAATTTTTTTATTATGTTTATTTTATATATACATTCAATATTATTATTATTATTTCATTTTTATTTAATTTTATTATTTTTAAACGGTGGGGATAAAATTGCTTCTCTGAGAATAGTTTAGAGGTAATATTACTCCTATCTAATTTGTTCAGGAGGCAACATTATTATGATGAATAGTTTAAAAAAAATATTACTCCTTTAAAAATAATTTAAAAATAAAATTACATCTTAATCTTTACATATGAAATCTTATTTATGACATGAAAAAACTCATCATCGCATAGCAGTATTATATGCCTACACAATAAAATATTATTATAATTGTTTATATATTTCCTATGGACTTTCTCTTTTTAATTGTCGGATGTCTTTAGGGATAGTGATTATATCCAGAACAAAGATTAATTAATTAATTAATGGAAAAATTAATCTACACATCTCGATAATTTTTTTCAATTTTTGAATTAGGTTCCTATAGCTTATTTTATTTTAATCAAGATCTATTAAATATATTAATTCCAAAGATTAAAATTAATAATGAATTATTAAATTTTTCAAAACAAAATCTTTTGGAGCTTATAGAAAATTTGATTTAATATTTTAGCCAAAATTAACAAAAATAAAAGTTGATTTAATATAATATTTACAATTTTTATTAACTTTTATGTGTATAAAAATATTTAGAAGATAATATAATTATATAGATTTTTATAAAAATCATGTAATTAATTTTAAAGTTATATAATATTTTAATAAAAATATAAAAGTTTTAAATTTTATTTTTAAAGGAAAATTTTAAGGGTTTTAACTTTCAAGGATTAAAAAATTTAATGAATTAAAATATAGGTTGAAGTAAAACAAAATAAACTATGAAGACCTAATTTAAATTAAAATATATATATATATATATATGGACATGTAGATATATTTTCCTTAATTAGATTACAATTTCGAAGAAAGATCCAAAGATCCCAATTGTCTTATTATTTGGGGATATGTTATCTCTACTTACCCAATAAAATAAGTTTTATTGCGATGACCTAACTTTTTTAATGAGTCAAGTGGAATAGGGGAGAGAAGCAAGATCATATGTTAACAAAAAAAATGTTACTTCCCATATTTCTAACTACTGTACTAATGTAAAAAAAAACTGAATAAATTTTCAATTTTCAATTTTACCTATTTTAAAATTCAAATTACATTTTCTCTCATAGTTATTAACTTTAAATCAGGATAATGTTAGAAAAAATTAATAAAAAAACATCCATTTATTTTAGAATATGTCTTATAATTGGACCAAAGGGAGAAATTGGGTTGGAAAAGTTACCTGCGTGCAACGTTCATAATAATAAGAAGAGATTTACAATTTTTGTTGGGTCAACCATGAAAAAAAAGCTTTTAACACGCACATGACACGTATGTGTGTGTAGTATGAGAAGGAAGATTCCAGGAAACCCCTAGACTAGTATAATGTATTCATACTGTCAAATCATTTAATATTTAAGTACGGTATGAACATATGCCCTCTTCTCTCTTCCCATTTCTATTTATAGAGAAAAGGAAGAAGAGATTTTGATTATATTTATAAGTTATGTTATTAATTTTTTTTATAAATTGTTCTCTTTGTTCTCATTAAATATTACAAAAAAAAATATTTTATTTAGTCTTTAATATTATTTTTTTATCTTAAATTATAAGATTTTT